CACTCTCTCTCTCTCTCTCTCTCTCTCTCTCTCTCTCTCTCTCTCTCTCTCTCTCTCTTTCTCTTTCTCTTTCGCCTTGTTAGGGTAGGTGTGATGAAGCCAAATAAGAGCTATTGCATGTGACTCCATGTGTTTTCTTTATTTATTATTTCACACCATCATATTCCTCTTTCTTCCCCCAATTTGTATGCATTTCCTCAATCAACACCAATGTTTACACATGTTCTTCCTTGTGCTTTTTCTTTATTTTCATTCATTAGTGTTTGGGTTTGATGCAACATCATAAGCATATATATATATATATATCATGGATAGAATTCGGTTTCAACCTTATTATAACATTATGCTTGTACTTTGTATCATAGTGTGGAAGCCAAGAGACTTTTTTAATACGTATAAATAACTAAGTTTTGTTTGATAAACGGTCGAAAAGCGGATTCAATTGAAAATCAAAAGTAATAAATCAAAAGTTAATTGAGATCAACTAATTAAGAGAATTGCTTAACCCCAAAAATTAAAAATTCTAACTCTGTTTTTTTTTCTTTAAATCCATAAACTCAAATCTCTTATCCGACGAACTTAACATTCTAAACACTTTTAAATTTGCCTCTAAAAAAATTTATAAAATACCTTTTTAACCCTATAGACACATAAAGAAGATGTTTGTGAAATATCATGTGTCTACAGCATCAACTAGGCTCGTATACATGCGTAGGACCCCCCTCTCCCTCTCTCCCCCATTCATACAGACACACGTTGTGAGTTTGCTATATAAAGGCCACCCTTGCATCCTCCATAGCTACATAACTTCGTTTCTTGAACCATATTCTCACATGGAGAGGAAAATAAACGAGAGGAAACGTGTATTTTCCCTCCATCCAAACAGGAACCCTACAGCGGCTTTCACTAGAAAATACGCAAACTGCTTAGTCCCGGCTCTCAAGAAGATGGCCATGAACAAGCCCTCTTCTGGAGACAACGGTCTCCGGCACAAGATCGGACAAAACGTGAAGCATGAAGTCGACGCGGCATTGGACTTGCCTGCTCAAGAATTCGCTTGGACCCGTTTCTTGCGACGGAAGTTATCATTCCCAGATCACACCACGCGTAGTTTTTGGAGCCCTGAGCAAACCCTAGGAGATGCCGAGACGAAGCTTCTAGAAAGTTCCGAGAAACGAGGAGGAGAAGAAGAAGAAGAAGAAGAGATAAGGAAGAGGGTGGAGGAACTGAAGAGGCTTCTTCCGGGAGGAGAAGAAATGGGTGTGGAAGAAACGCTAAGTGAGATTGGGAGTTACATCCTCCGTCTTGAGTTGCAGATTCTTGTTCTTAAATCTCTTGTCGATGATATCTGATTTTGTGTTTCTTTTTTCTTTTTCCTTGGGTTTGATTTTATATGTTGCCATTACAAGCTTAATTTATGTATTAGCAACTTTTTTCAAGGAGGGGAAAAGACCGAATTTGTAATTTTTTTGTGTTGCCTAAGCGTATCTTTCATGTTGTCCTTTTGTGACCAAAAGCTTTATTTGTTGCATGCACCTTTAATTTCTTTTTTATATGATTTAGTTCCATTCAATTAATTAATCATATATTTTCATGCATATTATAAGATTCTTATAAACATTTATGTTGGCCCATCATCATCATCATCAATATGATAAATTTATCATGGTAATCAAAAGTGTAAAAGATTCTCTCTTTTTTTGGTGGGATCTGAGGAATCACGTGTATCTATTACAATAAAAAAAAATGACGCCAATTCAAATTAAAGTCTTAAAAACGACCCAAATAAAATAAAGATTTTCCAAGGGAAAAAAATGACATAATATGAGAAATCCATCAGATTGCATATGAGTCATCCATATCTTTGCACGTGTAATGTACTATGAGTGCATTGCAGTGACAGTGCTGCACAAATAATCCAAATTAGTAACATTTCAGCTTTTTCCACGGTTTAAATTAAACCCATAATTTCAGAAGCAAAATCTACTATTTACATTATTTAGAAGATCATCATCATCATCATCATCATCATCATCATCAACATCATTATTTATATAAAAAGGGCAAGGCTGATGAAGAGTCAAATTACAACGGCTCGTCGAATAAGGGGAAATAAGACCATCATCAGCAGCAGCATCGTTATTAAGAAAATCAAGCAAAAGACAAAGAGTTTCTGGAAGAGTTGGCAATAAACACAGTTCTCTCCCAATCATATGACTAAGAAGAAGATCAAGACGAGAAAAGAGGTCATAATCTTCTGTTTTGGTCTCTGGGTTTCTGTCCTACACGGTGTAGTGTCCAGGAGTCTCAATGTCCAAGCCCTTTAGCTTCACCACTGATTCCACATGGCCCTTGAGGGTGTGCAGCTCTCTCAGCCTGAGCACAAAACCATTCATCCATATTCAAGTTCATGTGAATGATCAGAAACTTCGTGGAAAATGATGGTTTTGATATGATCTTTTACCTCGCAATCTCGGCTCTCCTCTTGGCTTGCTCTGCAATCTCAGACAGTTCTCTGTAGCCTCCTTTCTCGGGGAAGACGTCAACAGATTCTTTTGGCTGAAGGCCGTGAAGCGTCCTTTGAGCGTGCGCCCATTGAGCCTCTCTCTCTTCTTTACCGTAATCTTTCTTGGTGGTGAAAGCGGTCTGTTGACGAAACAGGAGGGAGACAGAAGATCAGCATTTCCGTCTTTCGGGTCACAGAACCAACGAAGAGAGATTCTCACTCGGGTTTCACGTACCTTGTTCTCGTACATGTTGGTCCATGCCTTTCCAGTCAAGAAGTATCGGGTGGCAAACTTCATGACGTCCAAGGGGAAGTAAGTGACCAGACTGTACAGCCATATCACACCAGCCCATCCCCATCCGATACCCTTAATCTTTGCAAATGTCCAGTCGGCGTACACCGCAATGAATGTTGCAATCTTGATTTCCGAGGAAAAAACGGATAAATGGGTTCTGTCTTAGTACCTCTTATTCAAATATGTAAATTTGCAATCTACAAGGATATCTGTAATTGATGCCTCCTTACCAGTTGTGCAATGAGAAAGGCAGTCAACAGTAACAGTCCAGGACGCTCCACAAACGACCAGCTCCTTGACCTCGTGACAAAGATTAGAGCTTGACTGATAATACTAACTTGTAGATACAAAGCAGACATTAACTCATCCTGGCTGTTCCTTATAGACCTCACACCGAATTTTTCCTGCCAATTGAAATGAGATAATTTTTTAACATTTTGAACTATGCTCTAAGCATATAACCTCTTAAACACGCCTTTTGCTAAGAATTGGATGGAAAGAGTAGAGTTGGATTGCGTACCGAGAAAAAATCAGTCTTGTACATTGCCCAGAAGAAAACGACAGTCGTTATAGCCATGTAGCCTCCAAGCACAACTCCTGTAGCGAAAATCTCTTTGAGTTTCCAACTGTCGGGTGTGGGAGATGGTTTAACTCTGTCCTTCGAGATAGTCATGATGGTACCTTAACACATTGCATGATACCATGAGACAAAAGTGACGGAGAAAATAGATTGGAGGGAGAAACATGTCGATGTTATACAACGGAAAAGCTATAAACTCACCATCATTAAGAATGGCGATGATAAGAACCATGAAAGCGGAGAAGTCAAATCTCCATATAAGAGCAATAAGCATGAATCCAAACTGCACAAAAAATTATGATTTTTGTCAGCAAACTATAGGTTATTCATATGAATTAGAAAGGTGGCAGAATTCTAATCCAGTTAGTTGTTAACGTACCACAATACGAATTGTAATGGAGACAGCGTAAATCTGTGACAAAAGGAAACAAGAATGTGGTTAGTTTACAGAACAAGGGAATGAGTGGTAGGCAAGATCGAAGGGCGAAAACACAGAGAGAGAGAGAGAGAGAGAGAGAGAACACACGGTATAGTTCTTCATTCTCTGGAAAATAGCTCGGCTAGTGAGGACAGCACTGATAATAACGCTCAAACCAGGTTCAGTGAGAACAATATCCGAAGCACCCCTTGCGGCATCTGTGGCATCATCCACCGCAATACCGATATCAGCTTTCTTAAGAGCAGGAGCATCGTTTACACCATCACCAGTCATTCCAACAATGTGCTTCCTCTCCTGCAACTTCTTCACTATTTCGTACTTGTGCTCTGCAATGAGTTAAAAAAAAAAAAAGAAGACAAAAAGACCTTGGATCAACATAAAACATCTTTGTAGTGAATTATATATAACGACGTTGAATTCTCGAAATATGGAATCAGTTTATAACCTGGGAAGACGCCAGCAAATCCATCAGCTTTCTCAATCAATTCCTCCACAGGAATCGATGCAATGTTAGAGTCCTTGTCCTGTCCAAGCAAAGAAGAAGATGGATACATGTTGGTTCCCATTCCGAGCCTACGGCCAGTTTCCTTACCGATGGCAAGCTGGTCACCTGAGAGTGTATTCAAAGGGAAAGGCTAAGGGACAAAGCATATAAATTGCAGATTTTTATGACAAGATCAATGAAGAAGGGAGTTAAACATAGTGACCAGTGATCATCTTGACATTAACACCGAGATTCAAAGCTCTTCGGATAGTTTCTGCACTGTCATGCCTTGGAGGGTCAAAAAGAGGCAACAAGCCAACAAATTCCCAAGGACCACCAGGGCTTTCCTTGGTTTTCTCCGGCACCACCTGAGAAGAAAAAAGATGAATCGGTCAATTGAAAAAGTTGCTTCTGAGCCAAATGGAAACAAAAAATAAACATCAGAATAATTGGTGAAACAAGTACCTGTCGGGCAACCGCCAATGACCTAAGCCCACGCTCGGCATACTTGTCAATAATAGCATGCACCTTTCTCTTAAGGTCATCCCTGGCTCCGCAAAGATCAATGATCTGTATGGAGAAATGAATCAGTTGACTGAAAAAATGAAAAATACTATAGCATGTTGGCCATATGAGTGGACAAAAGATTCATCACCTGCTCGGGAGCACCCTTGCTGACCCTGTGCCATTTACCGTCACCATCGATGTAAGTCAGAGCAGTTCTCTTGTCCACAGGATTGAATGGAAAGAAGTGAACCTCTCTGATCCCAGCTCGGGCCTGCAGAGATGGCGACATTTGGAATCAGAAATGACAAAACCATTCTTACACTCTTCCTGAAACTGGGTTGCATAGTGCAAGCAGAAAGCGGTAATACCTCCTTTGGATCAGCAAGCATTCCAACCATGGCTGCATCGATGGCATCTTGATTCTCTACTCTTGAGGCCCTAGCCGCAAATAAGATGACTTGATCTTTCTCCACACCCTTGGCAAAAACCTCGACCAAGTTTTTGTCAACACTCAACTTGTTGAGGGTAAGTGTTCCAGTTTTGTCACTGCAGAGGACATCCATTCCCGCCATCTCCTCAATGGCGGTCATACGCTTGGTAATGGCCCCTTGCTGAGACAACCTGTGGGACCCAATAGCCATGGTAACAGACAAAACAGTAGGCATAGCAATGGGGATACCACCGATCAAGAGGACCAGAAGGTTATCAATTCCGTCCCTGTATTCCCTGTGCTGAATCGGGTACATGACGATTATCTCGATCACCATACCCACAGCAATAGAACAGATACAGAAGTTCCCAATGGCTGTGAGAACCTTCTGGAAGTGTCCGACATTGTTAGTGCTGTCCACAAGGTGGGCAGCTTTACCAAAGAAGGTGTGAACACCGGTTGCAATAACAACCGCCTCGATCTCTCCCTGTTTGCAGGTTGAACCCGAGAAAACTTCATTGCCCGGGTACTTGGTGACAGGAAGTGATTCTCCGGTTAGAGCAGACTGGTCCACCTTTAAGGGATCACCCTCAAGAAGACGGGCATCGGCTGGGATAATGACTCCCAGCTTGATGCTGATGATATCTCCCGGAACAAGAATAGCAGCTTCCTGTTCACTCCATTTTCCATCCCTAAGCACCTGAAGAAACACCACAACGAGAAAACCTGTCATCACGAAGGAAGCTTGGCCACACGTTTTTACAATAACTTCGTGTCATTCTGCGTTATATTTGTATTACCTTGGTTTTAGGAGCAAGACCGGCCATAAGAGCAGCAGCAGCATTACCGGCATTGTTTTCCTCGATAAAACTGATGGTGGAGTTGATAACCAACAAACAGATGATACCGACAAAGTCTTGCCAGTCCGGGGGCTTCCCTCCACCATTGGCCAAAGCAATGGCCATGATGGCAGCAGCTTCCATGACCCATGAAAGAGGATTCCACATGAATCCCAGGAACTTCAGGAATTTGCTTTCCTGTCAATTTTGATGGTGGGGATTCACCTCGTGAGTGCCTCGGAACTTGATATAAGTAAACCACTATGCATATAATACACACATCTCTAAGCACCAATGGATAATAAAGTTTGAACCTTTTTCTCTTCCAGCTTGTTGGGGCCAAAGATTTGAAGCCTGTCTTCTCCTTCCCGCGTTGTTAAACCTTCCCTGGAACATTTTAGCTGCTGGAAAACTTCCTCGATCGGAATTTTCTCCTGAGAAACCAAATTAAATCTCAATCAGTAAACCCTCTGCCTACAATCCATTCTCTGATAGACCGGTTCAGTTGTGACAAAACTAGAATCTGTTTTCCGAGTTAGACTTAGGCCGCAAAGTCAACTTTTATTGACCCAATGAATTCCCAAGTTTTTGTTTTTAAAGATTAAAAAAAATCTCTCTTTTAGTTTCGGAAGTCGGAAAGGTAAATAAAAATCGCAACTTTCAAACAAAACAATTCATAATGATAAGAAAAATATTAACAATATTAATTATATAAGAGAGAGAGAGAGATGTGACGAGGAAAACGGTTTTACAAGCGAATAGAATTTTATTTAAGAGTAGCTTAAACAAATCATTTTGTGAAGACTTTATTGTGACGTAGCTCCAACAAAAAAGACGCTTTCTTTTTTGTATTTCTAATGCTCACATGCCTACATCGACTGTCTGAATAACAAACTCTAAATCTAAGACAACTGTTTAAGACTTCAGATTCAACCAAAACAAAAACAGAAGCAAAAAGATCCCATTTTTATATGTTTAGAGCCAAACAAAGCCTGAATGAAGTCCAAACCCTTTTTTACTAATTCTCCAGATTTTCTATTCGACCTAACACGTAAAAAAAACATGAAGATTTTCTCAAGAAAAATCCCAAATGGAATAATAACTTGGGATCTCGGGAAGATAAATCACCTAAAAATAATCGGAAACACAGAATTAAAACGCCAATCGATAAATGAAAATGCAGTGGTGTGAACAGATCTATCTCATTCAAGCAAATCACCAAACACCTTGTGATCATGATAAATACATGACCGAGAAAATGAGCGAGAAAACACGGGAGAGAGAGAGAGAGAGAGAGAGAGAGAGAGATTTTTACCAGATCAACGTTCTCGTTCTTGATATCCTCGAGACTCGACATATCGCCCTCCTTGACTGAACCACCAACGACGACGAAAACACACCCAAAACGACAGTTCTCTCTGCCGTTTCAGCACTCGATCATACCACGGAGAGAGAGAGAGAGAGAGAGAGCGAGAGAGAGGTGGCCGAAGCGATGTTTCGCTGCAGAGGCGATACGCTTCTCATTTTTATACGAGACAAAACGACTGACGTCTCCGCCGTTTTGGTCTGGTGGGTCCCACAGGCGTCTCCCCTTTTCCATTTGTTTAATTTATCTTCTTTTTTGGACTCTCGCTACCCCTTTGGACTGACCGTTGATTAAGGGCCTCGCGATACATCAGGAGGACCTGAATCTTGCTGGTTTTTGTGGGCCCTTTTTTTAATAATAATTTTGGAAATATTTTTTTCTATATTATAGATTAATTGCGGTATTTAATTATAATTATTTGTTATGGAAGTATCTTTTACAAAAAATCCAACAATATTGCAATTATGGAAAGAGAATTTGGTAGAATACATATACGCTTCTATTGTTTTTCTTTATATTGCAAATAATACAACAATTGTTATTTTTTTTTTATACCTTAGATATGATTGGACTCCAAACGAAGAAGGTATTCCATTGGCGATTTGAATTAATTATATATATAAAGCTATGTTCGAAAATAAGAAAGTAGCGGAAACACAGTGTATGCATCCCCTTTTCTGTACAGATATTACTTGGATTAGATTTTTCAAGATAATATTCCTTTTGTGTAATTTTATGGTAATATTTTCAGACAGATTAAGAAAATAAAAAATTATAATTTTTTGTGTAATTGTTTAATTAGAAAACCACCCATCGCCTACTTATTACATATCATTACATGTGAATGGAACTTAATTATCTCATAAGACAAAGCATGCTGGATATATTATGTCGGATTCCAATTTGAATTGGTTTCTAAAATATTATTAATTGAGATTTTATAGAATGATATATTATTACATAACACATGTAAATATATATTTTATTACCATGGCCCTAATGGATGGTAATGTAAATGGCTCATCAAAATCGTGCCTCGTATGGCACATGCATGATGTGGATAATATTTTATGAATAATCTCAAAAATTAATTATATAACTTAATAGATTATACTATGCATTCGTCGTTATAAGAGTATTTTTTTTCCCTTCGTATTTATGGATAAATTTTATAATATGATAATGCCGTACCGTAATATCGTTTTATTTTAAAGTAGTTTTATTTTATCATTTCTTTTTGTAATAGACATTGCAACAATAAAAAAAGGATTTGTCTCAATCATAAAGTAAACGTATACGTACCCAGAAAATCATGCGCCATGTACGGCTCCACATGCTATCCTCAGACATCGATATGCGAAAGGTCGTTACTTGTTCCCTTTATATATATATATATATATATAGTTAAATTGATATTATGAAATTCTCGAATTCAAAACAGAGTTTGTGTTTACCGTGAATATTTATATATTAAGGCAGTGGCTTATGTAATGCTCCAACTTTTTTTTTTCTTTCCAAACAATGTAATGAAAAATAAGCCTTTGAAAAGATATCCAAATAGTAGATATCGATTTAACAAAAAAAAAATAATAGTAGATATCGATCGAAAACAAAAAGATAAAACACAGTAATCAATTTACTTTCAAAATCTTTATTTTGGGTCAATAGAATCGCATAATTATTAGTAAACCAAACGTTATATAAACGTTAATCAGTTTAAAAACTTAATTACAGCAATCAATTTTTTAATATGAAATGACAGTAATCAGTTAATTCCTTAATTAGTTGTCTTGACCATGTAAATGAAACAATATTTATGCCAATGTTTTGTAATGAAAACTTGTGTAATACATAGTAATATGAGAATATATCAACAGTATTAAATGAATTCATATCTTATTTGGCCGAAAAAATTATATTTTGATTGAAAATATTATGGAAGTATGAAATAAAATTATACGAATTGAAATAGATATGTATATATATTAAACTTAATTACAGTAAAATTATAGAAATTTAGATAGTAGCACCTATCATTACGTTGACTAAAATCAAGTCGAATTCAGATATAAAATCGATAAAAATGAATTGGAAAGAAAAATAATTACATATCGCAGTCTAATGATTACTTATATATCCGTCAGTTATCATTGGATGTCGTGAAGGTAATAAAGATGGAGGAGGAGCAAGTGGGCCTTCTCTATCTAACGATGAATCTGAATTTGTCATTTAAGTAAGCGGCATTATATCCAATGAATTGTTGCCACGTGTACGACTTCATTACCATACCCCTAGGTAGGTGTGGGCATTTGGGTATTTCGGTTATTAATCGAATCGACCGATATATGCTCGGACCGAATCGAATCAAATAAAATTAAATAACCGTTTGGTTATAATTTTTTAAAATCTGAAATAATCGTAAACCGAATATTTCGAACCCGAATTAACCGTATCGAATAAAACTGTTTATCCACTTATATATCACTAATTAATGTACAATATATGTTAAATCTAATTAGAAAAATAGTATAATGATATTGTTTTATAACTATCGTATATAACAAATTCATATATATATTTTTTTTCTAATTTGATCATTGTTTTATTATTTTTAATTTATTTTATTATTTTCAAATTTTGTGCTATATGAATATTTGAAAAGGATAAAATTTATTTAAAATCTTTTATTTTGTTATTTTTACATCAAAACAAATTATGACATAAATTTATATTTTGTTGTTTTATATGTTAAGATGTTCATGATGGTATTTTATATTATATCTTGTTTGAATATTTTTTTCTATTATAAACGTTGTAATTTTTTAAATATTATAACCGAACCGAAACGAATCTTTATTTGGTTATAATTTGAAGTATATAAAACCGAATCGAATCAAACCGAAATCAAACCGAACCGAATAAAATTAAATAACCGTTCGGTTATAAATTTTTAAAACCCGAAATATCCGAATTCGAATTAACCATAACCGATTAATCCGAACTGAACCGTTCGTCCATCCCTAATACTACATCTTTCAACAAAAAAAAAATGTAAAGACACCACGGATCTCTCTTGATGTGTGAACCACTTTCCAAATTTCTTTCATATTTATTATCAACCACTATATATATATATATGTGTGTGTGTATAGTGTTTGATTACTGTAATACATCAATTTTTTTTTTTGGTAATTTTATACTATGCGAGTGACAAAAGGGTAAGTGACTTATTTTGGTCAAAACTCTATTGAAAAAAAAAAGATAATTGGTAAGTGATAAAATATTGAATACAATGATTATAGTTAACATGACAAATTTATATATGGTACATATTTGATATGGACGGCGAAATTCACCTGCATATATTACATGTAAAAGCTGAGACATTACTTAATTAATTTTATGATGTTAATTAATTAATTTTCCAAAGATTTGGACATGTGAGCATATGCATGTGTCATGTGAAGTGTAAAAGACGTTTTGGGACAGCTTATGCTTTAGAAGACAGTTAGGCACGTACTCTACCACTAGACCTAATTCATTCTCCTAATAACAATTATATATATATATGTAGATATTATTCCAAAGAGATTTATTTCTAGATGACGAGCTATATTATTGACATTGATCTGATCGGAACACCATGAAATTATACTATTCTTTCATTGGCATATATATACATACATATATGTGTGTGTATGTGTGTGTTTATTAATTGGTTTAAGATAAGATTTTTCGTTAAAAAAAAAACTTATATGGTCGATATCCAGATTTGATTTAAGCACACACACACACACACATATATATATGTATGTATTAAGTGTGTATATATGATTACATGTATTAAGTATTTAGGTACAAATATATATATATATATATATATATATGGTTTATAGTGTCACTTTATACCAAATGTGATACAGTTTTGCTACTATTCATCGGAATATATTCTTTAATAAAAGTAATTCAATATTAAAAAAAATATACGGAATAAAGCTTAAACCGTACGATCATGTGATTGATGGATTCTTAATTAAATGTTTATGAGTTGGATAACATTTAAAATGAAGATTCAAACATATAACCTTTTATCTATTATATATAGAGCTATATTTTTTTTTCCAATTTGGCATATTGAGAATATAAAGCTCGTGAAAATAGCAAACAGACGATGGAATAAAGTTTTGTTGTTTTGTTGTCGATTTTTTTTTTAACTTTTGCCTGTTGGATGTGTGAGTCACTTCGGACACGAATCTTTCTCATTGTAATAACCATATATAAAGTGTTTCTTTTTTGAGATAAGAAAATAATATTAATATTATTATTTATATTTTATATAATATATAAAAGCCGTTGATTCCTAACCTATTATTATTTTTCTTTTTCTTTTTTAATTTACTTTGCCTACTTCACAGATTAGGCTTTGTCATTTACAATTTAAGATGTATAATCGATACAAAGACAAACACGATGACTTCAAAGCTCGAGTTAGCAAAAACAAATTTGATTTGGTATTTTAATACAGACAAGCTCGGTTCGGACACAGACTCGTATTTAGATAAATCGGGTTATTAACAAAATAAAATGAAATATTTTTAAAGGAATTTGACAATTATCCCTGGGAAATTAGATTGTGACCACTAAAAAAATATTTAAATGAGAATAAGCCGAAAAATTATGAATATAATACAATTCGCTTTTTAAATTTCATTTTATCACATTTATAGTCTTTATTAATCGGATTAAACGTAATAAAATAACAAGAGAGATCGGAGACCACAGATATAAAGGGATCCGAGATCACCGGATCTTAAATATCCGACTGTAGAAAATAGAAATATTTGACTATGATTACAAATTTATTTAATCACTAAAGCTTTTAGACGAAGTTATTTTAGTCTTGACCGTAATAGTTTCAAGTTTATGTGGTGAAATTGATGATGCGTATCATCGCCTCGCCATATGTCCGGAATTAAAGAAATTTAATATAGTTAAGAGTTGTATCGGAAATTGTTAATAGGTAGTATTTGACATTTTTAAAATTCTAATTGGATTTTATTATCACATTAAAATTTTCCGTTAGTTTTAGTTCAAATTTTTTGAAAATTTTAGAATAACATGTTTAGAAAAAAAAAAAAAGCTTGATAAGAATCTAATTGAATTGTCTCATTGTAGGTTGGACCGTTGGGGCATCAAGTCCATGGACCCATTAAACCTAAAGCCCACTTGCAATCCCATAAAATAAATTTCACACACACCATGATTCATGGAGGAATGGATCATCAATGTATCTTCTCCATTTGTATCCTCTCATCTCCCCAATTGCCCCTTTTTTGTTGTTGCATAATTTGGATATTACACTAATTCTATAAAATAGAACCTGAAATTTTACATAACATTCTCAAAACATATTTCAATTATATGACCATCCAACATAGATTTTGAAATAATAGTTCTCCATGTATACATAACAATATATGTCTATTCAATAACCAATCATTTTGAAGTGATAATTCTCATATATATATATATATAATAGTTAAGTTTACATTTAAAAAAACACACACACAAGGGCTAGTAATATAAAATTTTGGGTTGGTTTGGGGCGCATGGCATTGCCATTGAACAACACAAAATACAAAATGACAAACGTATTCCAATGATCTGTTATATAAAATTATAAATGATCTATCATTATATATTGACGAAACGAATTGTAAAAAATAAAAGTGCCCCATGCATCTAAAATATTTAGACCAAATCACTTTTTGAAGCAAATTTTGCATCTAAATGAATTTGCACCGAATTGCTTCACTAAATTTGTTAATGTACGGTTGAATCCAAATACTAAACCATTATTTTTCTTAGAAAGTTCGATTTTATTTTATTTTTACCTACTGAACTAAACAAGTTCACCCTATATTCTCGTTCAATTTATTAATATATATTTACATTTTATATTACGGTTTGATTGTGGAATGTTGCATATATTTTACATGAAGATGAAAGCACATGGTAACCTAAAAAAATGTGAAAGGCCAAATCTTTATTTTGATGGGACGAGTTTTAATGGCCGTTCAAATTCACTTCAACCAAAGGCGCTCCTTTTTTCTTCCTCTATCTTCCTCCATTCGCCAATCGGATAACGCCTCTCCGTATCCGAATCCCGCCATTAACGAGAAGAAGAAGCAAGCTCCCATTGAAGAACAACCCTAAACAATGGAAGGTACTCTCTTCCCTCACAAACCCATGTACCCAGTTCACTCCAAGAGACCTCCTTCTCAGTCCAACACCAATCCCTCCCTCAAATTCAGCTCTGCCACTCTTCACCTCCCTCCTCCTTCTCCGCCGTCCTTTCCTCTCGATTCCCTCCTCCATCACCTCCTCCATCTCTCTTCCCCGGCGAAACCCACCAATTCTGCTTCCCGTTTCCCTTCTCTCGAGGTTTCCTCTGAATCGACTCAGAAATGGCGCCAAGAGGTGAACTCGGAGAAGCCCTCTTCGCTTTCCGTGCTGGGTTTCGAAATCGGAGAAGAAAGTGGTCAATTCGGAGAAGGTTCTCAGAAATTTTTATCCAAAAAGGAAATTTTACTGTTCAATTCGATTTTGGAGCAGCCTTTGCACGGTTTGAGCAGTTTCTTCGATTCGACGGAATCCGAGTTGCGTAGAACAGATTTGTTTAGTTTGGTTAAGGCTTTAGATGGATCGGGGCACTGGGAAAGAGCATTATACTATGCATTCGTCGTTATAAGAGTATTTTTTTTCCCTTCGTATTTATGGATAAATTTTATAATATGATAATGCCGTACCGTAATATCGTTTTATTTTAAAGTAGTTTTATTTTATCATTTCTTTTTGTAATAGACATTGCAACAATAAAAAAAGGATTTGTCTCAATCATAAAGTAAACGTATACGTACCCAGAAAATCATGCGCCATGTACGGCTCCACATGCTATCCTCAGACATCGATATGCGAAAGGTCGTTACTTGTTCCCTTTATATATATATATATATATATAGTTAAATTGATATTATGAAATTCTCGAATTCAAAACAGAGTTTGTGTTTACCGTGAATATTTATATATTAAGGCAGTGGCTTATGTAATGCTCCAACTTTTTTTTTTCTTTCCAAACAATGTAATGAAAAATAAGCCTTTGATCATCAGGTCATTGAGTTCGCAGTCAGGATCTTAGGCAGAGAATCACAGTACTCTATTGCAGCTAAGCTGTTCGATAAAATTCCTCTAGAAGAATATCAGCTTGATGTCCGTGCTTATACAACCATCCTTCATGCTTATTCACGGACCGGAAAGTACGAAAGGGCGATCAATTTGTTTGAGAGGATGAAACATACGGGCCCTTTGCCGACTTTGGTCACATACAATGTGATTCTTGATGTTTTTGGGAAAATGGGTCGGTCTTGGAACAAGATTCTAGGGATTTTAGATGAAATGAGTAGCAAAGGGCTGCAATTTGATGAATTTACTTGTAGCACCGTGCTATCTGCTTGTGCAAGAGAGGGTTTGTTAACCGAGGCGAAGGATTTCTTCGCTGAACTTCAATCCCGGGGCTATCAGCCAGGGACTGTAACTTACAATTCATTGTTGCAAGTTTTTGGTAAAGCGGGAGTTTATTCAGAAGCATTAAGTATTTTGAAAGAGATGGAGGATAACAATTGCCCAGCGGATTCTGTGACGTACAATGAGCTTGTTGCTGCTTATGTCAGGGCTGGTTTTCACAAGGAAGCTGCTGATGTGATTGGGATAATGACCCGAAAGGGCATAATGCCAAACGCCATCACTTATACTACAGTCATAGATGCATATGGAAAGGCTGGAAAGGAGGAAGAGGCCTTAAGGTTGTTTTATGGGATGCAAGAATCAGGTTGTGTTCCAAATACTTGCACCTACAATGCTGTGCTTGGCATGTTGGGGAAAAAGTCGAGGTCTGATGAAATGATAAAGATTTTGCGTGATATGAAGTCTAATGGATGTTCACCGAACCGCATAACATGGAACACGATGCTTGCGATGTGCGGGAATAAGGGTATGCATAAATATGTGAACCGGGTGTTCCATGAGATGAAGAGCTGTGGATTTGAACCTGATAGAGACACATTCAACACATTGATCGGTGCGTATGGACGTTGTGGGTCGGAGCTTGATGCATCGAAGGTGTATGGTGAGATGACGAAAGCCGGATTTACCCCATGCGTTACTACTTACAACGCCTTACTTAATGCCTTGGCCAGACAAGGGGGTTGGAGATCAGGCGAAAATGTGATTTTTGACATGCAGAGTAAAGGATTCAGACCTACTGAAACGTCTTACTCCTTGATGCTCCAATGTTATGCTAAAGGAGGGAACGCCAGCGGGATTGAGAGAATTGAGCAGGAGATAAACAAAGGACAGATATTCCCGAGCTGGATGATTTTGAGATCCCTGGTTCTTTCGTACTTCAAATGCCGGTCACTGGCAGGAATGGAGAGGTCATTCGTGTTGTTACAGAGCAATGGGTACAAACCCGATCTGGTAATCTTCAACTCGATGCTGTCCATTTTCACAAGGAACAACATGTACGACCGAGCTCAAGAAATCATCCAAGCAATCTGTCAACACGGGTTAAACCCAGATCTTGTAACATACAACAGCCTGATGGACATGTATGTCAGAAGAGGAGAGTGCTGGAAAGCCGAAGAAATCCTCAAGGGGCTAGAAAAGACGCAAGTGAGACCCGATCTCGTCTCTTACAACACCGTCATAAAAGGGTTCTGCAGAAAAGGGCTGATGCAAGAGGCGGTGAGGGTACTGTCTGAGATGACAAAGCTTGAGATCCGGCCTTGCATTTTCACGTACAACACGTTCGTCTCTGGATATGCAGCAATGGGAATGTTTGCAGAGATAGAAGATGTGATAGAGTGTATGGTTAAGAACGAGTGCAGACCGAACGAGTTGACGTATAAGATTGTGGTAGATGGCTATTGCAGAGGAAGAAAATACGGGGAAGCCATGGACTTCGTGTCGAGGATTAAGCGAAACGATAGCTCCTTCGACGATCATACTCTCCAACGTTTGGCTCTCCGGGTCAGGGAAAATCTAGAATCCTAATCATGTATCATATATATATACATATATATTTCTGATACCAAAATGTTTTTGTTTGTAGATCGTGTTGGGATTTTTGTATTGAAATATACATTTTTTTAAACTTATATATGTATTGGGAAGATATGATATGCATAATGGAATCTCTCGGGTTGGAGAATCTTGATCTTTGGTGGGTTGATTGCAGGGAAAGTGAGCTCCATGAACTGTTATGATCAAGTTTATCACCTGATTGATTGATACTGTTTTGGGTGTTTGTTTATTTTTTCCTAATTTCTTGTAGAGCAAAGGGTTCTGTTGTGAAGATGGGTGATGAAACTGGTTCTGGATTCAGTTCTTGATCTGTTTATGTTTTTTGTATATTTGTAACTGCAATGTTATGAATTGTGTATATATATCATTTGGGTTCTCTGCAGGATCATATATATGTGTGTGTGTATATATATATATTCCTCATTTATTTAGTTGAAAATAGTTAATTTAGGGTTACCAGTGATAATAATAAATGTATACTATCTGAAATTACAAAAAGTGAAAAAAAGATTCTGTAAAAAAAATAAAGGGAAAAAAAAGGAAATCTGAACCATGATAGAGTGTCTTAGTAAAGTACGCTTCGAAGGCAAGAGATCGAAACAGAAGCGTGGAAGTGTGTTCTCTTCTCGGCAACAGCAGCTCAGCAAAAGCTCGAGCTTCGAGCTGTTTCAGCTTCTTGTCCGAAGATACCCTCTGGTTTTCTCTCGGATTCCCTCATTTTGCCTTGTGATTTCTTCTTGCCCCATCTTCCCAGATGCCGGTCAACAAGGACCCATCAACTCCTCCTCCCGTCATCGGGAAAATCGGTCCGTACACCGTCTTCATGACTCCTCCGAAACCGCCGGAATCTCCCGCCGCCGTGACATCGAAGCCTTCTCCCGTGATGGCGCCGCCGGTTCAGCCGCCGCCGCCGCATTTCGAGAAGTCGGTGGCTTCGTACGAACAGAACGGCTCTACCTTGGGATTCTTCAGAAATGCAATCACCAAGGTTCAAAATGGTAAATGATTCTTTCTTTTTTCTGGGTTTTTTTTTTACTAATTTTAACTCGATATATCCATTTTGGGTTTCCTGTATCCTAGCATTGATAGTGGTAAGGATATGATGGCTGGTCTGATTTTCTGATTCCCTGATTGGCTGGTGAGAAAAATAGCAGAGAATGATGGAAAGTGACTGGGAGAATGTCTTTGCTGTGTGGTTGTGATGACAGAGAGAGGGAGAGAAAATGGATCAGGAAACTAAGTTAAAGAACGCTGCAATGTTCATTCTACTTCAGGACAACCTCAGTGTCTGTACTTTCTGAGCTCAGGAACTCTGCTTGTTTAGATTCTGAGAGATTCCAAGAAATTCACTTTTTTGAGTAGAAGAAGAGAGAAACTAAAGAACTAGAACAAACAATACAAATATGTTTCAGATGTGTTTTCATTACAGCATGTGTTTCTCTGTCCTGTGTTACTGAAGTGTCATCTCTTTTTTTTTTGGGACAGTGCACTCTAGCGTGGATGATCATTTGGTCAGATGGTTCGGCTTAAACCAATCCAAGTACCAATGGGCCTTGGACGAGTACTACGAGAGCAAAGGATCGGTTAGTTTCTCACATTCCCCAACTCTGGACCGGTTTCTTGGATTCTGATTCCTTCGAATGTTTATTCGTGTCAAGATCCCGGGTTAGTAAGTAATTCATGAGGGTCAGAATGTTTCTGCTGATATCGGGTTCTTATCTGCTGGTTGAGATGCCGCAAGGTTATCTTTTATTAGCTTGGTTTGTCGGTTAGGAGAACAAACTCATGTGTTGTCATACATTTGAAGCTCCTCGTCCTCCTCCTCCTCATCATCATCTTCATTTTGGAACAGTGTTCTTACTCTTGAACTGGCACAAATGCAGGGAAAGAATGGCTTGAAACCAAAAGAGATGCCAGGGAGAGTACAGGGCCTGTAGCTGTAAGTCTTTAATGATTGGTCGGATGAGCTTTTGAGACTCAAGTGTTCCATTATCCTACATTACACTGAGTGAGACTCCGACTGAAACAGAGGCAAAGATTCTAAAGTGTGTTGTTTTGGTAATGCGCTTGATGAAAGTTCAGAAGCGTCACTGAGACAGAAAGCCATCATCATATATTAAGATGCCAATGTGATACGGTTTATGAGTTTCTCTATTCAAACGGTTATTTCATAAAAAGTACAATTTAGTATTTTTTTTATACGTAGGGTTGACAATTTGGTTAATAACAAAATAAACCAATATAAAAACTATTCAATATAAAAATTGAAAGATGATGATTTTTCAAAAATCGATTAAACCAAATTTAAATATAATAAAAAAATTATTGTGAAGATTAAATATTTTTTATCAATAAAAATAGAAACCAAAAGGAATCAAACCAAAATTAATATAAAAATTGTATGATTATAGTTTTTTTTTTAAATTAAAATAATGAAATTGAATGAAACTGAACTAAATTCGGACTGAGATGACACCCTGTCATAAATCATGAAAAACCTAGACCGGTGTATACATGAAACGGTATATCTTGTAATGGGTCGTTAAGCGAAGGCCCAACGTCATTATAACTTATAGCCCAAATTGCTATAATTTGGGATTTTTTTTTTATTTTTCAAAATTTAAAGGAAAACTCTTGAAGAAAATTGGAAAATAATTAGAGAGGCGGAGGGGTTTAGTTAGGGCTTTTGAAAGTTCGATTTCTGCATCTGCCTCTCTCCTCTCTCTCCTCTATCTCTCTCCTTCGCCGGGAAACCATGATTCGCGGCGGAAGAAGCTACGTCACCTCTCCTCCCGTTTTCTCTAACGACGCCAAGAAGCTCCTAGTCTGCACATCGAACGTCGTCTCCGTCTTCAGCGTCGCCACTGGCTTACAGGTACACAAACTTCCCTCACTTCGAATCGGAATTGTCTCATGGTGTTTCCTCCGATTTGATCATGTTTGGTTTTCTCTATATGGGTTTAGATTGCGTCGCTCGAGGGTCATACATCGCTGGTAACGACGGTGATTGTTGTTCCGGCGACGAGTCCAGCCGGCAAAATTCTCTGTTATTGTTGGACGGCGTCGCTTGATGGGACTATTAGGTACTGGGATTTCTCGGCGCCGGAGATGTTGAAGACCATCGATGTCCGGCTTCCCGTTTACTCTATGGTAAGTAAAATTCAGTACTTGCAGTTCATATCAATCTGTTTGGTAACTGGGAAAATATGGACAATTTCATGAGAGAAAAAATACGTACGGATGCTGCAATCAGCTCTGTAGTGTTATTGGAATCTCCATTTTTTTTTTCTGGGTCATTGAGAAATGACTTGAAATTCGTTTGTGAATCGAGTAGTTTGAGGTTTTGGAAGTGCTGGTTTCTGATTTGTTTTCCGTTTGTAGGTGATTCCACTTCTATTGAGTGAACCAAATCAGAGTCAGACTGGCCACGAAACTCGTGATTTAATTGCTTATGTTTCGGTTGAGGATACAAGTTCTGTCAAAGGAGGAACCAAAGTTTTGCGTGGACATATCCGAAAATGTAATCTAACTAAAGCCCGTCTTGCTCGTGGAGATACTTTGAGAGAGGTTAGCTTACAGAGTTATTTATGTTAAATCTTCTGCAGGCAATCTTGCCCTGTTTGATTTGTATTCGGTTCTTTGCTTATTTTCTTACGCAGACAGAAGATCCAAAATCTATTGTTACTAGTCCCTCGGGACAATTTTTTGGTATTCGTCACAAGTGCAAAATCCATTTATGGAATGTCCCTTCTGGGGAATTCAAGGGAGCTGTAGAAAAGAAGATGACACTACATCACACGAAGGTTATTAATGTGTTCACCTTCCACCCAACAGAGAGAATTATAGCTGCCGGTGATGTGACGGGAAGAATTTTAATATGGAGAGGATTTGGAAATAAAAAACTTGCTTCGGGTGATAAAACGGCAAAGAGTAGATCGGCGGACGATATGGAGGATGGCCCTGGAGTGAGGGGTGGAGATGATACTGATTCCTGTACCACATGGCACTGGCACTCTGCTGGAGTTAATGTCCTTAATTTCTCTTCTGATGGAGCATACCTGTACTCAGGTGTGCTGACCTTATCTTCTTCTTGATATCGTATATCTTATAATGAGTGTGTGTGTGTGTGTATTATTTGCAGCAGGCATGTCATCCAATTGAAACTGTGTAATGGATCTTGTCTATGAATTTGACTTTTTAGGTGGAAAGGAAGGGGTTCTAGTCGTTTGGCAGTTGGACACAGGGAAGAAGAAATTTTTACCTAGGATTGGATCTCCCTTATTGTACTTTACATTCTCTTCAGACCCAACTCTTTCTTCTGTAAGTCTGAGCATATTGTGCATATTCTAACGTATGATCTGCAGAAAGCAATGGAAGACTTGTTGGTTTTACTAAAATCAAGCCTTCCAGGTTACTTGTGCAGATAATCAACTGCATCTTCTTACAATGCCATCCATGGAGATATTAAATTCCATCTCAGGAATCAAGGTCTGTCTTAAAATCTTGTAAAGCATCTGGACGCTTTTTGTTCTTGTAGTGTAAAATGTTTCTCAGATTCTGAATATTATTGATAACTGCTACGTCTTATATAAATTGGTGCTTTCATGAATCGTCTATGGCGTTTACTTCATGTGCATGTTATTGTTTACAGCCTCCTCCATCCTTGCCTAAAATGTACGAAGGCCTGGCTAGGACTGTTGACTTTGACCGTTCTTCTGGTTTAGTTGCTATATGCACGGAGAATTATTGTGTTCAACTTTACAGCCTCTTCAATGACCGTGGGATCTCAGAGGTTAGCATGAGCAGTTCACATTTATCCTCAGAGATTCCCTTTTTACTTTCAACTGTCAAAGAATGCTCTAAGTTGGTGTGATAGAATTGGAAATTTATTTTTTGTTACTATTGTTTCAGGTTCAAGTTTGCGAGAGAAACCACCAACCGGGTGATGAAGTCACGGTAAATACTTTTCCCGATCGGCATATCTGCTTTAGTATCACTAATCTGTCTGGTGAAGAGCTGATTCCTCTGTGTTCTTCTCGCTTGATGATTGTTTGAAAATGTGCCGTTAGGTTGTGGTGACAGCAGTTGCTCTCTCTCCGGATGGCTCTCTGATGAGTACAGCTGAGGTGAAACTTCCAGAAGATGGCATAGGAGGCTTAGTATGCCTCAAGTTTTGGGTGTCTGAACCACCCAACAAATCTTTCAACTTGTCCACAATCGTATATGAACCTCACAGGTCTAACATTTTACCGCGATGGGTAGTTGAACTTTATATGTTATGATAATCGCCAATTGGATTCTCACGTATTGCACATTTGTTTAAAACTGGTGTATGTAGAGCTTCTATCTTAACCTTGGGAAATCTAAACTCGATGAATATGCAACCATTTTTTATATCAATTACATTGTTGTAACGTTTTCCGTACTTGTAACAGGGATTCTGGTGTCTCAGCAATTGCCTTCCACCCTAACCGTCGCATGGCTGTGAGCACATCATCCTGTGGGGACTTCAAGGTAATTTTAAATCGTTTATATGTATGTTTTTTCGGTGTAACTGGTCATGTAAATTTTATCCTTTTCTGTTCTTTTTCTAATACGACACTTGTTCCAGATATGGGTGTGCAACAGTGATAAGAATCAGACGCTTAGCTGGACATGTCATGCTGTTGGCTCTTACAAGTATTTTTTTCTTTACACATCTGAAACTTTAACATCTCGTTTCTGGTATATGACTTGGGATCATTGCAATTGACTATATTTCGGTCAAATCTTTTCCAGGAGAAGGCCAATGATGGCTGCTGCATTTTCCGGAGATGGTTCTGTTTTGGCTGTTGCTGCTGAAAATGTTATTACCCTTTGGAACCCAGACAAAAATATTCTCTTGGCTGTATTAGGAGAGACTCTTGCGGTAAACGATACGAAATTTTCTACTCCTATTTGCACAATATGAAGCTTTTTCATGTGGTAACTATTAAATCTATCGACTGATCACAGCCAATTGTGAGACTTTCATTCGTTGGGAAGTCAGAGTTTCTTGTGGCTGCATCGCACGGTTCAACACCCCAGTTATCTGTCTGGAATATGTCAAAGCTATCTTTATCATGGTCCTATAGGATACACATGGAAGGTAATCGTATCTTTCCAGTGTTTATCATGTCTACTCCTTTCACCTTCTCTCTGTGAATTCTTGATGTTTGGCTTTGGCTTAGTAACAACATTCGTTTCCTCGTGCAGCGCTAGCCACTGCTGTGGATTCATCATCTTTTGCAGTTTTGGCCTTGCTTCCGGAATCTCTTGTGTCAGTCAAGTCTAATGAAGATGCCTTTAACGGGAGAGATGGTGCAGTTCTCTTCTTTAACGGGTCGGATCCTACACCTGCAGCTATGTGGTCTGTAACACAGGTATGGTCTCTTCATAGAACTACTTGAACACGTTGAATGTTATTTTCCATCAAAGTGTGGCATTCGGTTCTTTTTGTTGTAAATTCATCAAGAAAACGGCCTAATCAACATGTGAATATATGACTATTGCAGGCAAGGGGAGGATCGCTTTCGTTTATCGAAGGAAATCAAACTTATACGATGAACGATCAAACATCACCATCAGACGAGAAACCATCTCGGTTACTTCTTGCCTACGTAAACGGAGACCATGAATACGTTCTTTTCGACCCACACAGCGATGAATCACACGAGCGCAGCGTCATTGATTACGAGAGTGTCGCTGCTCACGAAGAGACAGGTAAGTAATGGGTTCATAGATACTCCGACAAAGACCCTTGTCCCTGATCAGTTATATTTAACTGAAAGTTTCGACCTTTTCAGGGGAATATGGATATGCGACCTTGTACGGACAGTTGCCGGATTACGACAAGAGGAGACAAGAGGAGAAGGAGAAGACATGGTCGATAACGGTGTCGGCGGAGAGACCATGGGAGAAGATATTCAGTGGGTCGACTCTCAATTTCCCACCTCTCCCTAAATTATGCGCCTCCTTTTTGGAGGCCCTCTTGCATATGAATGAAAACGCCTGAACTTGTTGAATGGTTTTTTCTTTCAAAGCATTAACACATTACCCGTGATTTTGTCTCCAAAGCTTCGGTTCCTGTAATAGTTTTCATGTTTTGGGATTTAATATAATTAGTTTTTGTTTTGTTTTCTTCTTCTTTATTTTAATTTTGTTTCATGTTATATATATATGTATATATATGAGCGTTTTTGTTTTTGTCTCTTTAAAGTATAAATATTGTTTTATTACTAGTATTAAAATTAGATAAAATTCTGTTACATGTGTCTACTAATTTACCCCTCAATCTTTTTTTTTTTTTGGGGTTTTCTTTTCACTTGGTCTTAAAGGCAAAAATGAATGTTATTATCATCATCATCATGATTATAACTATTATTATTGGTAAAATTCAAATTACCATATTATTATTGGAGTTGGTAAGAAATACACGTTTAAGAATGGATTCTTATTATTTCTATACAACTTTTCTTGTGTAGATCATATAGTTCGAACTAATTTGATTCGTACAATATGTTCAAAAGCGTCTAATAGTGTGTATATATATATATATATTGTTATCATCATAATGGAGATTTTTTAATGTAAAGATTTAGTTTTTGGTGTATGCTGACATATATACGGACGATACCAAAAACAACTAAATAAAAGTTTTGAAAAGTAGATATTTTATACACAAAAATTGATTTTGGAGATGTTACGACATAATATCTAACGACTGTGAGAATATTCTTTAGAAAGAGAGGAATCGAAATCTTCCAAACCCCAAAACTCTTCCTTCTCTTCTTCTTCCTCTTCCTCTGCCATTTTCCACTTCTCTCTCTCTATCTCTCCCCCTTGAAGCACTTCCAAAACCTGTAACACATAATAATAATATTGACCCACTGATTTATCCAATAAAAATAAAATAAATACAATATTTAAAATATTTGTAAAACATATCCATGATTTGGAAAAGGTATTTTTGGATCATATTTTTTTTTATTGAATTTATTACAAAGTTAGGAAGAATCATCTTTTTTTAGGGTCTTATCATTATGGAATAATAGTTGTTTGCCTGTTTCTCGCTTTATGTATAACTTATATTATTTACTTGTTTACTTTAATTTAAAAAAGAAACATAATTTTCATTACCAAACACCACAAGCGTGTGTGTGTGTATATATATAAAACCGAACAGTCAAACTTTTGAGAAAGCAATCCGGACGCTAATAAATAAATTTATGTTTTTGTTCTGAAATATAAAATAAAGGTGTAAAATATGTGAATTATTAATAAAGAGATAAATTTATGTGCACTAATTTACGACACTTCCACTTGTGGGTCGTGAAGCTGATGAGCAAACTGAAGCGAACCTTGAGTAATCATTGACCACGACATCCCTAATTATGAATAATAATTATTAATTATCATAATCTCAAAATAATCTAAATTAACATCTACTTCTTGCGTGGATTGAAAGTGAAAAAAAAAAGAAGGTTAAAGACTATTATTTTTCGATAAATTAGAAGCTGCCATCTAAAGTTATAATTTATAAAAAAAAAACTATTTTTGTACGTATAATAAAACAAAACAACTCTTAAATATTAATTACTACGTTCTAAGTATCAAAAACCAAACCCTAGTAGAGTATTAGGAGTGTAGATATATTTTTTAATTAATAATTTGTAGAAAATGATTTGGAAAAATGTCATGTAAAAAATTTTCAAAATACGACAAAACAAAAAACATATATATATACATGCATATATATATATATATATATATATCACCTGGATCATGGAAGGTCGAGATGAAGAAGAAGAACGGATGCATAAAGAGGCAGCAAAAGCGAGACGATGAAGATGATGAACATCGAACTCTCCTTGGAGCATTGGATCCACAATTTTCTCTATTTCCCCTTTTTTTAATATTGGTTTCGCCTGTTTACGTAAACCACACGCATTGAATTCATTATGATAACGTAATTAATGTTTTTGTTCCAATAACAATCGAATGCATCATGTGATTTCTTATTAATTTAAACTGTAACATATGGTTTGAAATTATTAATGAACGCCCTTGAATTCAGCTAATTTGGACCGACGGGAAAAAATAATAGTAATATTAATTAACGCCCTTAAGTTCAGCTAATTTGGACCGATGGGAAAAAATAATAGTAATATGTCTGTTGTTACATATGGAGCATTGAATCACTGGATTTTCTTTTTCTTATTTTTTTTTATAAAATATAGAATTTAAAATCTATGTTTGTTGCATATCTAAGGTCTAGATTCTATATTATTTATATAGATTAATTTTGGTCTTAACAATAAGAAAAAAAACAAAAAAAAAACTGAAATGGAAATTCACGCATAATAATAGCTGAAGCTTTGAGAATCGGACTTGAAGTATGTTTTTTGAAGGGTAAAATCCATTTAAAATCCTAAATTTATAAATTGGTGGAAAATTAATTTCTAAACTTTTAACTAGACAAATTTATTTCTAATAATTAGTTTTCCAACATTTTGCAGATTTAGAAATTTTATGGATTTTCCCGTTTTTTAGTGGGTATATGAGATTTTATTCAGTATTTATTCTATATATAATCGAAAATTAGTTGAAGCAAAATATGATTATATTATAATAATAATAATAATAATAATAATAATAATAATAATAATAATAATAATAATAATAATAATAATTAAAAAAAAGGATGAGGAGAAATACCCAGTAGTGTAAGCTTTGGTGAGAAGCATCCACAGGTTTTCTACCAGAAATGAGCTCAAGCAACAGCACTCCAAATGCAAACACATCTGTCTTCTCATCCACAATCCCATGTTTATAGTACTCTGGTGCTAAGTGCCTGTGTGCGTTTTTTTCATAATTAAAAAAAATTCAATTTCATGAAAATTATTGAAAACCCAAAAAAGAAAATGAAAAGATTGTGTTATTATATGATAATACCCAAATGTGCCTTCAATTGGTGCAATTGAATGGTGAGACCATTGAGAAGGAAGCCATTTTGCCAACCCAAAATCAGATATCTACAGAAACCCACATGCCAAACACAGAGTCAGGGTCAAGACTTTGTATCATTATTATTATTATTATTATTATATGAAAGATGTAATTTTTTTATATAAAAAGTGGAAAAAGGTAAAATTATATAAAACCTGAGGTTGAAAATCTTGGGTTAATAAGACATTGGAGGATTTAATGTCTCTGTGGATGATCCTTCTCTGACAACCTTTGTGCAAGTAATGAAGCCCTTTTGCTGTCCCTATGGCTATCTTGTACCTTCTTTCCCATTCCAAAGGTCTCGAGTTTTCATCTGAAATCATTTCTCAACATGTTTCATTCAAGCAGGACAAAGAATTTCATTAAAAAAAAACAGGATCAAGAAGGGAAAACTTTCTAGAGAGAGAGAGAGAGAGGGAGATTCAGCTCAAATTATGGACCTTTCTTCAAGTGTTTCGCAAACTAAGACGAACCCAAGATCAGAAACAGCGAAATTTTTAAACTTGTCAAAAAATGAGAAAGACCCAGAGCCAAAAACATCCAAGAATTTGAAGAAAGTTTGCATCTTTATGAAGATTATGCATTCTGGGGGGGATTACCATGTAGAAGAGAAGCGAGAGATCCTCTGGAAGAGAAGGGGAAGACAAGATAGAGACCATTATCGATGCAACAGCCAACAAGAGACAAGACATTAGGGTGTGAGACATGTCCTATTGTCCCAATCTCCGTAAGAAACTCTTTCTCTCTCCTCTCCTCTCTCCCTCCCCTCGTTATCCTCTTCACAGCAATCTCTTCTCCATTCCCTAATACCCCCTTGTACACCTCTGCAAACCCTCCTCTCCCCACCAAATTCTCTGCAACGAAAACCCATTTAGAGAGAGAAAAACAAAAAAAGGGGAAATCTTTTCAGACAGTCATTAAGTGATATAGAGACAGAACCTGGGCTGAAACCCTCGGTGGCATCAGAGAGTTCCTCAAAGGAGAAACATTTCCAAGTGGGTCTCTGAAACTGATCCGTTTCTTGGTTACCCTCGAAGAACTTGTCGGCTTTTACAGCATCTTCGATCTCGGATTCGGGATTGAAATTGCGTCTTTTGAAGGAGAAGATGCGTTTGAAGCTGTTGCTTCGAATGTACTTCATCTTCTTGGGTGGAACAGCGAAGAAAAAAAAAACGAAACCTACGAGAGAGACAAACAACAGTGGAGGAGCTCGAGGAATGTAAATGTGTAATATATAGTAATAGAAACTTGAAAAACAGATAACAGAAGGAGATTGGATACACAAAACAAATTAAGAAAAAAGGGCAAAAAAACAAATAAATTGGTCTTGATTCCTTGTGGAATCCACTTGGCATACGATAAGTGTGGTTTTATTGTTCACCGGTTGAATATTTATGTACAACCAAAAAAGGCATTGACCAAACACAGTAACAAAAAAAAAAGATTTTTTTTTTCTCTATGGACATTGAATTCGATGTTATATCGAAGAGTCAAGCCTAACATATTTTGCTTGATGAAGTGAAACCCATGGTTAGGTATACTCCAAATTCATCCCAAGTCCCTAGGCCTAACGCGCACAATATCCAATTAGGATTTTTTTTTTTCTTGTGAAAATTCTAGGACCCATCATATTAATTTTATTTTTATTTTAATAATAGGTTAAGAAATAGATCGCTTCTTTATTTGCGATTTCAGGGATCAATTATATTTAAACCAGTTGGTTTTTGAAGAATCTAGAGCATATTGCTATATTTATTATCACAGATCTGATAGTTTCTTTTAAGATTTACTCCCTACATTTTTAAATAATTGATGTTTTAGATTTTTTTCACATTTTTTAAAGAAATATAAAAAGTCATATATATCCTTATTTAATTAAAGGTATTATTGGGAATTGTTTTTTATTAAAATTGGAATTGATTAGTTTTAATTAAGGGTATAATTGAGAATTATTTTAAAAAGTTTAGATACAAAATCTGCAATGACATCTATTTAGAAACAAAAAAAAAATATCTAAAACGTGAATTATTTTTCTTCAAATCCTAAATTAATGCATGAAAAGTTGAAAACGACGCCGGAACAAAACATGCGTATATATTTATTTATGGTACTATTTGTGCCAAAAAAAAAAACAAACGGTTCTATAAATAGTAAACGATTAAATATTTATTTCTCTGAATTCTGAAATATATCTCATTAACCATAGTTATTGGTAGTTGTACTTTTTATATGTATCCCATAATTGCATCGTAATGATGAATATATTCAATTCACATTATATATATAATATTACGGATGAAAGCAATATTATCCAACCCGAACCGGTGAAGAGGCAACACATGTTTCAGTTTCAGTTCAACTGTGTAGTCATCGTCTTCTCTTTGTCTTATTTACTTTCATAATTCGAGTGTCTGAAGGTGATTGGTCCACATCGTTCCATGGCAATATTTATTACGAAAAATATCATTCAAATGGAAAACAAATGATTAACGATAGATGCCCATTTTGGTACGGTTTTTCCCAATTTAACCATACCGAAAAATATGATATTTTTTTTTTTCTAATCTGAATTGTTTAAAATTTACTAACGATATTATTTGAATAAGAATAGAATCAAATCCACCCGAATTTTAAAAAAATCATAAATTTCTTAAGAAATTTTATTTTTTTAATAAAAATCGAAACCGAACCCAATTGGAATTAAAATCGAACCGAGATGAATATTAAATAATAATCGGTATATATTTTTATAAAACCGAAAAAAATCAAATCGAACCATTCTTAAACCGAATTCAAATACGAAAGGTTCGCCCTAATTTGTTGATTATAGAGGTTTCTTTTAAATCTTATGCGGACCGGCCCGACCGATTTGAATGAACATTATCTCGACACGTGGCGTCCATATTTCGTGTTTTATCCATGACTGCGTACTGACTAATGTGATCGAACGAGTGAATGGAACAGTTTACTTAATCCCATGGAGATAATATGTTATAGGAATCATGGTTGTTAATCATTTTCTTAATTTGGATTTATTAGCTTGAGGTTTATGCTTTGAATTTCATATAATATTTGGTTCGTTGGGAGATAACGATTTACTTAAACTTAAAAAAAACAATTAAAAATAATCGTTAATCGGGCTCATGTCGATTTAATTTCACTTCCATACGTTTTGATTATATATTATCTTAATTTGGATTAATATTTAATTTTTTTAAAGAGAAAATTACATATTAATATACGAACTTATAAAAAGGACTTTACCCTTCAACAAAAAAGAAAAACTTATAAAAAGATCTCACATAAATGCATCAATTTTAAAAAAAAAATTAAAAAAAATACACCAATTCTTCTCAAAAAACCTCTGTGGTATTTGAGAATCGTTTAAAAATTTAAAATTTAATTTTATGGTAGTTTTAAAGATTTAATTTATATGTGATTCTTCTACAAATTCGTGAATTGATATATGATTTCACTTTTTTTTAAAGATTCTCGTGAATAATAATTTTTTTATATCCGTTGATTAAAACCGGTTACAAATTAAAATACACATATGATTCGATTTTAGAAAGAAAAAAATGTAAATCAAACAGAGAACCATATAGACAGCCCCACGTAATATGAAATGCATTGTCTCCAATGGTAAATAAATTAAAATACGAAAAGGGTTACCCATATATTATAAAAAATTTCATAATAGAATTTAAATTGACAAAATAACTGGAGAATCCACTGTGGAGTATAGCGTTTCAGTGACATATGGTGATAGAGAAAAAAGACATGAAAATAACTTCCGTCACAAATAAATTAAGCATTATATATACGCATTTATACATATACATAAATATTTGTGTATATATACACGTACACACACATATAAAAGAGCACGAAAAACAACTCAAAAAAGCATTTAAGACGGCGACGTTTTTCTGTTCTTCACGAGCTCCGAGTGTTGATTCTTAATAATACAGACAGCGACAAGAGGAGCCTACACTTTCTTTTAATTCGAATTTTTTTTAATAATAGTAAAATATTTTTTGTGTGTTATTCACAATTTGCATGTAAAGATTACCAATGGTGGTTAGACATATACAACATACCTTTATATAATCAATCAGTGATTTAATAGATGAATTCTTTATTCATATATATTCACATCAACACAAAATATGTAAGATAACCCCTATCATATTAGATTTGACAACTTAGAGTTTTTGGTAATATATGTATATATTAAAGGGATTTTACCGTTACCGAAGTACGCATGCATTGCAAATTGCAAGAATGTTTACTTTTGCATCTCTCACGAGGTTGTTCGGTGAAGAATCAACATCATCAATATCAAATCGCCTTAGTTCCAAATTTATTTAGGGTCGGTTGAATATATTTTTCATTTTCACTTATTTAAATTTTACGTTATCTCTTTCGAAATTTGTAACAAATTCAAATCGGTGAAGAATCACAGTAAAAATTTTATTGGATTTTTTCTATAAATGGAGAATAAATCTGTTAGAATGGGAAAAAAAAGGTGAACTAGATTTTGATGTATGTAGACCTTCATTTGAACATGAATATTTGGACCTAATTCCATCGTAATCATATGAATATTCACACGTATAAAAGCGGTCTTGAACTGTAAAGTAGAAATTTCTAACTTCTAGGGTTTAATTTGTATTTCGTTTCCTTGAGGCCCAACTGAAAGCCCATGGGCCGAATTGAAAGAAATTGGGTCTATCTTGATATATTAGCTCATTAGCAGCCTTTCTGTATAAATTTCCCCCTAAATCGATTTGATTTTTCTATTCAACATCTTTAAAATGTATTTATTTTGATATTATTTCATGTTCAACTTTCATTAATCGATTTGATTTGTCTCTCACAAACAACGTTCTATCATAGTTTTCTCATCTTCTTCTTCACAGAAAAGAAGGAATGCTAGACGCGTACTTCTGCTCAAACATTTCAATGTTTCCTAGAT